TATCTAGGTAGACCATGAAATGTCAATGCATGTTTTATTTGAAAACTGCTAGACAATATTCTATCATTTTAATCAATCTGTTTTTCAGGATTATAATTTTTCTCTGAAAATAAATATGTATGCTCCATTTTGCTTACTTGTGCTTAAAAAACACACACAATCTTTTTCCAGATTTGCCTGAGGCTGTTAAATAGCAACTAAGAGTATTATTAATGATTTACACAGTGAAAGCCTCCATTCATCTAGAAAATGAGCCCCTATGCAAGGCAAATAACTGTTGCAGGTGTGAGATTTTAGGATCAAAATACAAGGGTTATTGATTTTATAATAGCTATAATTAAGCAGTAATTGGGTAAATCTCTATGTTGTTATTGACTCAATCTCACTGGGGTAACAATCAACTCAAATAAAAGTAAATATAAATATTCAGACTGTAGATCTTAGCAGGTGCGTGGACTTGCGTGCTTCCAGTTCTATTACTCCTGAACAGATGGTGTGTTGCTGATTGTTTGCTTAGGACTTTTAAAGTTCTCAAAGGTGCAGTAATGGGTAGAGCTAGACAAAACGGAGGATGTAACATTGAAACCAGACATTATAGGCCTGTTTGGACGAAAATGGCTTCTAAAGTGATTTGACGGGAAAGTGACTGTGGAGGAAATGGGGGGATGGGGGAAAACTAACAAAATTTAGGAAATGGGTAACTATTTCAGTTAAATTTTATATTTATAAACTTTTCAAATCAGGTCCGTTCGTGTTCCGAAGAATGACTTCTAACAAAAATATTCAACTTGCCCCCAAAACCAGCCAACATACCTGAAAACTGGAAAGTGGCCAGTGTGAGACCAATTTCTGAAAAGGGATCCAGTGAAGATGGTGGAAATTGAAGGACAGTTAGCTTTATGTGTCTTCCAGGAAAATGGATGGGGAGTATGGTTGAATATAAACTAATGAAGTATATGGCAGAATATGCAGGTGCTGAAGCAGAATCAGCATGGCTTCTGAAAGGACAAGTCCTGTTCCATTAACCTATTAAGAGTTCTTTGAGAATGTCAACAAGCATATAGTCAGAGGTGATGCTGTTGGCATAGTGTTCTTTGAATTCCAAAAAATACCCCACCAAAAACTCCTGAACAGGCTTACCAGTAATGGAATAAGAGGAGAGGTCCTCTTGTGCCCCAGGAACTGGTTAAGTAGCAGGAAGCAGAGAGTAGGAATAAATAGACAGTTCTCCCAACGGAAGGATGTAGAAAGTGGTACCCATCAAGGGTTTGTTTTAGGACAACTGCTTTTTAACTTTAACAATCTAGCGTTAGGGGTGAGCAGTGAGGAAGCCAAGTTTGCCAACTGTCCTAAATTCTTCAGGGTTAAAACAAAAATGGATTGGGAAGAGCTCCAGAAGGATCTCTTGAAACTAAGTTAAATGTGCGTAAGATACGATCATGCGGATTAACCAGCAAAAACCTCTAAGCACGTTGTATACGACAATATAAAATATTCAAAACAAATACAGATAAAATCAAACTTTAAAAACAAATACAGATATAATGCACATCACTATGTGTAAAATCAGCAGTATATTGAAACAATTTCTTAAGTTAGCTTTCTGTCCCAATGATAAGTTTTATTGCTTTGTCCCCAGTCGTATGAGCCTCCATCTCCAGCAGGCGGCACCCCCCGTAACTCTCCCCACCGCTGGCGCCCCCACCTGGGATGTGCATTGCCACTGGCACACACCCCTGGGATGCGCAGCGTAGCTGCTAGCTCCTCCTCTGCCTGTCCCTATGGGCATGGTGTGGCACGCCCCATCCCTAGCCCCTATGGGCACCGCGTGTCCAGTCCCTATGGGTGGTTTGCCCTGCCCCTGGGTGCACCACCCCAGGTGCCCAAAAGGCTTCCTCTGCCACTGTATGTGGTACAGCTCAGAAATATGCTCTGTTGTTTGTGTCTTAGGCTGGAGTAATACTATGAAGTGGTTGTGCAGTATGCACACGTGTGTGTGTGTGTGTGTGTGTGTGTGTTAGCAGTGAAGGCCCAGCGTCTTCTCTGACCAAGAACATCTCCATGTGGAATAGATCATCTTCACTCTGCCAGCAAGTCAGCTTCTGGGGAAGGGCTGCACACAATACTTGGACTCCCCACTTGCCCTTCAAACAGGAAGTTTTTATTGGCAGGGTTGATTCATTCAATAGGTGCACCAGGGGCAGCCTGCCGTGTTTTACCGCCTGAGGCAAAACAGTAAGGTGCTCCACCCATACCCCCCTGCCTCGTGTATCAGAGACATGTGGCCGCGGTGGTAGCTTCTGGGTTCCAGCAGTGGCTCACTACCACCACAGGAGAAGTGCCAGAACCTGGAAACCAACGCTGCAGCTGCTTCTCCTGCAAAGGCAGGGTCAAGACATCGGGGGGGGGGGCGGCGGCAAAGAGGAGCTAGATATGCTGCCTTCCACGTTTCTGACCAGATTGCAGATGTAATAATTCAGCCGGGCTCTTTGTGCTGTTGAAAATGAATTAAAAAGTTGCAACCAAGGAAGTTCTTCGAATCCCAACAGTTTTAATTCGTCTATCAATTTAAAGAATGCATGATGAAATTGGGATCTTTCCCCTCACACAGCCTTTGCTCATGATGGGATGTATACCAGTTACTGGCAGTGGTTTAGTATGTGTGTGGGACAGCACAAGGGATGGTTGCCCCAGGTGGAGAATTGTTAGGGGTGCAAAATTTACAACACCCAGTGCTGCCTCAATATAGGTGCAACCCCATAGTCACCTTTGACTAGACTTAACCATCCAGGGGTCCTTTACCTTTTACCTTTATAGCTGTGGGATGTTGGTGGTGCTGTAGTCTAAACCACTGAGCCTCTTGGGCTTGCCAATCAGAAGGTCAGCGGTTCGAATCCCCGCAACAGGGTGAGCTCCCGTTGCTCTGTCCCAGCTCCTGCCAGCCTAGCAGTTCGAAAGCATGCCAGTGCAAGTAGATAAATAGGCACCACTGTGACGGGAAGGTAAACGGCGTTTCCGTGCACTCTGGTTTCCCCCACGGTATTCCATTGCACCAGAAGCAGTTTAGTCCTGCCGGCCACATGACCCGGAAAGCTGTCTGTGAACAAACACCAGCTCCCTCAGCCTGAAAGCGAGATGAGCACCACAACCCCATAGTCCCCTTTGACTGGACTTAACCATCCAGGGGTCCTTTACCTATTTACCTTTATAACAGTGTGCTTCCATTACTGGGCTTCATTGAAAACCACTTATCCATGTGAAACAGGAAATGGCCTCTCCAGACAATGGAGGGACTCTTCATTCCTTAACTCAGTGACTGCAATCTCCTGTGTGACACGGGCACCGTTAGGCAGTTGAATGTGCATCCTCACTCTGTCTGTTGCACTTAGATTTCACTTGCAGGCTTACTATAGGCATCTTGTTGGCTGCTGGGCTGGACAGGCCTTGAGGGCAAATCCAGCTGTGCTCTTCTTATGTTCTGTAAAGGGGAAACGAACAAATGAGTATAATAAAAGATTAGTGCCCTGAACTGCAAAATGATTGGCCAAATGGCAAATTTAGCAATGGAGTTCAGTTTGCAAACTTAAGACCCTTATCAGAGATTTAACTAAAGCTAATGACCAAAGGAAAAGAACTTGCTCTTTCTTCTCTCGCCAGAGTCCTATTTACTGAAGAAATAATTTTCTCCAGCTGTCAGTAGATGTCCTCAGTGCCACACTTTATCATCGTGCTTGCCTACTCACAACAGCTCTCTCCTCAAATTACAGTTTCCCTGGTATTTGTGTTTCACATTTCACTCCTTGTAATTAGCCAGAGTACCTTCAAATCATGGCTCGTGGAGGTTCCTTTCAGGTGTCAAAAAGCCCAATGGAATTAGCAAGGTGCTCAGAAAGCTATATTTATCGCACAACATGAGCAACTCTGGGACTTGTCTGATTGGCACCAATGAGCAAAAGGACAAGGCAACAGAGAGGTGGAAACATACATGGCCTGAAGTAGGAATGAAATGGGCACGTCAGTTAGACTGAAGCATTGTGGGTAGTCTCGTGTTTACCCTCTGCAACTTTCTCAAACTGCTGCTTGGGAATTTTTTGAAAGTTTGGGTCAGGAGACTTTGACAACAAGAACTGAGGATAAGACAAGGCTGAGAATAAGTGATGGTGGGAGGTTGAGGGGGGCACTTATATCAGCTAAATTAAGATGGCTTTCAAGGGGGAAAATGGGATTCTAGCAGAAATAAGTTCTGTTTTTACAAAACCACTCCTCTTGCACTTCCGCGGGGTGCTTTTAAATTTGGAATAACTTTATCTGAGTTCTTTCTCCTTACCCTGAACTCTGTTTTCGTCTCTGAACTGGGACTGCGGAGCTGGAGTGGGGCACACTTTGCTTTCTTCCACAAGTTAGGAGCCACTGGGAGTTAGTACCTCCTGCCACCTAAGAAGATCATCACACATCAAGGGGAAAGACTAGACTGGCTCCATCCATTATAGAACCTACAAGTGTCCCTATTTCCCAAGGACAGTCCTGAATTTATAGAAGCCATCCCGGTTTCTCATTTGATTCAGGAATGTCCCGCTTTTCCTTAGGACGTCCCTATTTCATCGGAGAAATGTTGGAGGGTATGCTATTGGCCAGTGAAGAGGCAGTTGCAGGGAGTTTGCTTCCTCCTCCCATGGCTCCCAGTTGCATGGGGAACCCTTTTCTATGCTTGTTGGAGAATGGGGGTGAGGGATTGAGGTTGTGCTGCAGCCTCTGGCATCAGCTGGCATTTCTGCTCCTCTCCTTCTTCAAAATAAACACATAACAGCCTCTGCACACTTGAGCTTGTCATTTTCCCAATTGTTAACGCTGCTGACACAACCCAGGCGAGGTTTCATCGCTTTGGACTGAGAGCGCTAAGGGTAGATTAGTCGTGTTTTGGCAGTCCATCCAGTACAGTCAGAAATGAAGTGTCCCTGAAAAAATACAGACGCCTCCCTCCCTGCGCTAGGAGTTGGAAGGTGCAAAACTCTGCATTCACAGTCCTATCGCAGTGAACTGGTAGAAACCAGCATGGACTGGCCTTTTCTTAGAGGTTTTGGGAACAGAACAGATTCACAAGGACAGCAATCCACCCCCCGCCCTTATGACAGTTTCATCTGTTGAAATGATCCTCTGAAAATGGCAGTTTGGGGTGAGGAGAAAGAGAATATTTTCAATGCTTCCTCTAATTGTCTCTTTGGTGATCTATCTGAGGTTTTATAATGAACTGAATACATTTCTTGAAATGCAACCCCTGGGCACACTTGAAACGATTCTCTGCTTCAATCATACATGGGATGTTTCCATAACAGCAAGTAATTTGTTTTTTAAAAAATAATAATAATAAAAATAACACTGCCTTTGTTTTTCGGCAAAATTGCCTATAGATGGCTCCCCTTTCCCTCTGTTTCTGAGATTCATTGATCCCTCAGAATGTGTACATGCTATTTTTGCTTAGAGAAGCAAAGTCGTTCCCCCCTCCCCATTTAGGAAATAGCTTCCCCTTGGAAATGGAATTAGGGGTTTGTTGTCATGGCAACAAAGATTTCAGCACTTCTGTTTCCTACAACATATATCTCTCTGGGTTGCTGCAATTCTAGTGCTTATCAGTGTTTTATCCATTGTGAGTGAGCTTGGTGGTGCTGACATGTAGAACAAACTTCAAAGCAGTGACCTAGGATATTCTCTGAGGATCAGAGCAGCTGTCACTATATCCCAATTATATGGGGTTTTTTTTTAGCATTGTGTCCAGTTCTTGAACAAAGTATCATTAAACTATCAAGCTTGCAGTTGTTGCTTTGAAAAGTGATCTCGATGTAAAAATGAACATAATACCTTTATGTACAGAGGTGGGTAGGGAAACTGATTGGCTAGAACAACCAGTAAATATTGATAAATAGCGACACAAAGCTTACCTGGGGGAGGGGGCAGAATAGTATAATGATGAAGACATGGGCAGCAAACTTCAAAGAATGCTAGGTGCCCACTTAAATCCTGCATTTGAAAATGTAGCAATTATATAGAGAACACAGACATAATCCATGACTACTTTCTGTGGTGTCGTCGGAGTAGGGATTCCGAAATTGTGTAGGCCATTTGACATGGCAATTGTGTTTGCCATGGTTCCATGAGTGCTTCTTGCAGTGCTTCTGTGTGCATAATTTGTCAAAGGCACATATTTGTCACAGGCCCCCTGTACATTTAAAGCAACAACATACCACTTTAAATAGCCATGACTGCCCCACTGCAAAACTCCTGGGAACTGTAGTTTGTTAAGCGTGCTGAGAGTTGCTAGGTGATCCTTAATCCCCTCACAGAGCTACAGTTCCCAATTCCCTGGGAAGAGGGATTGACTGTCCAACTATTCTGGGAATTGTAGCTAGGAGAAGGGAATAGCAGTGGCAGAATCTAGGGTGTCTAATTTCAGCGGCACCCTGTGAAACACCAAAGTTTGGCTCTCCCTGCCTCTCATCTTCCATTCTATATCATAGCTGCAGCACCCCCCGGTGCCCGCACCCCAAAGGCCTGTGCAACCAAACTGGTCAAATTCTCCTAAATTCATCTCTGGGAATAGGGTTCTCTTAGGAGCTCTAAGCACCCTTAACTACTGTTCCCAGAATTCTTTGTGAGGGGAAGCCATGACAGTTTAAAGCAGCATGATACTGCTTAAATACATTCTGAAGATGGGGCTTTGTACACCAGGAGGTTTGTCAGGCGTCCCAGATGAGTGAGAGTTCTCTGCGGACAACTCTACAGCATATTTCATGCATTTGCCTTTCATGCTTTAGCTCTCTTGAAGGAAACACCAGTTTAACACTGGTGCAGTGTGGCAAACAACCCAGTCGTTTTACATGGTGTGTGAAAAGGTCGTCTTGAGGCAGACCTTAGCCAAGTGCCAAAATTTGACAGCAGAACCACAAGCTCTTTACAGACCCCCGTGATGGTAGTGTGGAAGGATGATCCCACAGCTATCCTAGATGAGATTCTGTGTTGCTCTGCTTGCCTGCTTGCTAATATTTGGGGGAAACCTAGACCAAACTGCAACCGAGTGTTCAGAGAAAAACAAACTTCACTTGCAGAATCTTTAACCTATTTTTAGAGTTCAACCTATTAAGTGTATGAAATAATGTTATGTGATTCATCCTGAATCACATAATTCCAAAGGGCCCTGAAGTTCCATGGAGTAGCAGAGATTTGAATATATTTATCTTGTTTCATGTTGTCATGTTAGGGAATGGGCATTTATTAAAGGCCAGAAAGTAGGCAAATTCTAGTATTTCCTGCTATTTCAACATGGTCTTTTTACTTCAAAATAACATCAACCTCTATCCAGCATTTCTTTAGCTGTGCATACAACAATATAAAGGAGGGGAGGCTGTGTCTGTAACTACAGGACTCCAGACCACACTTTGTCGTATGGTTCCTTTTTTCTGGGTGTTCCCTCCTCCCACATTGCTCACTTGCTACATTCCATCCTCTGGAATGGAAAAGGTTTTTAACTTGGTGGTAGAACATCTGCTTTGCATGCAGGAGGTCCCAGGTATAATCCTCTGCATCTCCAGGTAGAGAGCCACTGCCAGTCAGTTTAGACCAGAAGTGGGGAGGACCTTTGGCCATGTTTGCTGGGGCTGATTGGAGATGTAGTTCAGCAACATCTGGAAGACCAAAGGTAGACAATACTGAGTCAGATGTACCAGTGGTCTAAGTCAGTGCTCTGTGTTCCTATCTAAAGCCTATTTTCTTCCTAGGTCTGTACAGACTGACATTGTTTATACATCAGGATAAACCAGAGGTAATGGCATATCATGGTTTATTGAGAATGAGCATTGTGCCCATACAGGCTGCCTGTTTTCACTTTGCCTAGTGTGAATACATACCCTCCAAGTGTCCCAATATTCCAGGGACAGTCCCGAATTATGAAAGCCATCCTGGCTTTTGATTTGATCCTGGAGCATCCCTTTTCCCCTCACCAGCACCACTGTCAGTGAGCTTAGGGAAGAGGATGAGCTGGCGTTGTCCTGAGCATCCCATTGCCTCTCCATAGCCACCACTGCTGGCCAAGGGGACGCGGGTGGCGCTGTGCACTAAACCACTGAGCCTCTTGGGCTTGCCAATCAGAAGGTTGGCGGTTTGAATCCCTGCAACAGGGTAAGCTTCCATTGTTTGGTCCCAGCTCCTGCCAACCTAGCAGTTCTAAAGCACACTAGTGCAAGTAGATAAACAGATACCGCTGCGGTGGGAAAGTAAACAGTGTTTCCGTGCGCTCTGGTTTCCGCCACGGTGTTCCAATGCACCAGAAGTGGTTTAGTCATGCTGGCCACATGACCCGGAAAGCTGTCTGTGGACAAACACCACCTCCCTTGGCCTGAAAGCGAGATGAGCGCTGCAACCCCATAGTTGCCTTTGACTGAACTTAACCGTCCAGGGGTCCTTTTACTGCCGACCTCCTCCTCCCTTGGGCACCTTGTAGCAGCTTCAGGAGCATGGGCAAGGAGGAGAAGAGGCTGCTTCCACCAAGGTTGACATGCCAGCTCTAAGGGACAGGCAGAGGGCAGGGCTGTCCTGGGCAAGAAGAAAGGGGGAGCAGAGCATGATGCATCTCGATTTTTAAAAAAGTGCTTTGTGCACTCATGTCTAATCTTGCTCCTTTCTAAAATCTATTTATTGGTGTATGTTTTCCTTTTTGTACATCTACCAAATAATAAAATAAAATAAAATTGGGATTAAGTTGTTTTCTCAGGATGGCAAACAGTGTGTGTGTTGTGTCCTTTTGGAGTAAACGGGGGTGGCAATCGCCTTCTTGTGATAGGAAATGCTCTGCGGGCAGGTGAGATGACAAAAAATGGGGGTTGGGAGTGAGAAATGCCACTATTTTCTTCTGAGGAATGTTGGATGGTACGTGAACAGGAAATACAAAACAGGAAGCCGGTTAAGCTTCCTATGACATATAAATCCAGGATCGTGGTTGTTTCTCCGTACAATCCAGGTTGACTTACAAATCTGGAAGGAAGACACCAGGATCCCACATTCAGATGCTGTGAGAAGCCAAGACGTCCTGTTTTGTTTCTCCCCAACACACCAGGGAAAGAATGATGTGGGGGTGACTGGGCAGTGAACACCAACATGCTCTTTTTTCCCAAATCAAACACGCTAAGCCAGCAACCGTGGCACCTTGTGACATGCAGTTGTGACCCCTAAGTTCTACAAGAACAACTAGGCTGCATCAGAATTATCTAACTTCAGCAGATATTGTTGTGATGAGGAGGCCAACAGAGACAGGACTTAATGCAGAAGAACAGAGGCTTTGATATTTTTCAAGGTATTGCATTAAATCTTAATAAGAAAATGTTTAAAGGTTATATAGTGGGTTGTTTTACAATGCCCTAGTGGTTGTGAGTTATACCTGTGCTTTTGCACTCATTGCACGAAACACTGGAAGATGAAAGCAACTTTGCTTCTTAGCAGTCAGGTAGTCTATTTGCATCCAAGGTTATTATATGGGTTGTAAACAGCCATTTCCTTCATTCTAAAATGTGTTGCTGAGCGAGTTCCATCGTGCCCCATCGCTACACTGATTCAGGTGGTTGGCGAAGACCTGGCCTTTTTTTAAAAAAGTGTCAAATTTAACAAAGAAACAACAAATAACAAAGATAGATTTTTTTAAAAAAGTTGGGGGGACGACACCCCCCCGACAATACACACTATGAGTTCATTTGAGACTGTAATAGCCACAAGCTTTTCCTTCTAAAATTAAACATATAAATCAATATAAGCCTCCTAGATGTCCAAACAGGTATCCACACAGAATTGGTATTTATTAAAAATACATATGTTCAAATGCAGCAAGGGTGGTAAGGTCCTCAGACCATTGCATAATGGATGGTGGGTATTGATTCTTCCAGGCTCAAAGTGCAAGTCTCTTGTCAACCATAAGGGATTCCAACATCCACTTTTGTTGTGCTGCTATTAATCCCTGTACTGTAGAAATACAGTTCAAAAGTACATGAACATCTGGCAATACTGAAAATTTTGCTGGTACACAGTTCATATTGGTAACAATTTCAGGCTAGGATGAATATATCTCCAGATACATCATATGCCTCAATGAGGCCTTTTTAGCATTAGACCTTCAGCATATAATTATTAGACAGTGCCTTCCAGTACAAACACTGTGGACTCAAATTGAGACTTGTGGATCAGTATCTCATCCATCCATCCATCCATTTAATTTATATACCACCCTTCATCCATGGATCATAGGGCAGTTTACAGTATAAAAACACATAAATATTTAACATACAAACAAACAAAACGATACCCAACCCCACATTTCAACTCTAGAGAAATGTTCTGTGTAGATTCCAAAACAATTTCCCATTGTTTAGGTTGTACAGCACATTCTAATTCCCTGTTCCAGATCTCTCTGAATAAGCAGCAGTCATGGCTGTAGCTTTATTAGGATATCCAATAATTCACTTAAATAGTTCAGGAGATACTGAAGCACTCAAAGCAGGTGTTCCATAAACAGACACTAACAGGCATTGTCATTGACAATTTTGCCATTCAGCACTTGTCAGTAAATGATATTTAAACCACAATATGGAAAATGGCAAAAAAATTACATCTGGAACTATGAGCTGATCTAATGTATATATCCCACAATCATTCCTTCTACAAAAAGCTGCCTCCCTATCCTCAAATCTGGATTACCCCATAAAGTGATTTTTTTTCTATCATATGGGTTGAATTGTAATTGACCAGACAAGATACACTATGTCACTCTAGTTGCAAAAATTGCAGGTGGTATAGGTCCCTTCCTTTTATGTACTTAAAAGCTAGTTATCCTGGGAAGGGTGTTCATGCAATCACCTCTAAAATTACTATGCTGTGATATTAATAGAGGAAGGAACTTGCCCATTGTTTGTGTTAAAAGATATGCCTTGTGGTATAAGCTAAGATCTAGAAAATGAAATTCTTCTTGTACTGGTAGTTGCATTCTCTCTAGTGAGAAGTGAAACGGAGAGTTGTCCCACTGATCTTTGAAAAATATATTCACTACACTGAAATATCATCACACTACTTCAAATGGTTGGTGAAGAATCCCCCCCAGCCGTGTATATTTTGCTGGTTCCCTTCCATGTTAAGTTTATGCTGCTGGAATTTGTTCAACACTTTCCATATTGCTTGCCTCCAGACTGCCCATATTTTGCAGGAGGGATTCAGTCGCATAGGTTTGTGCAATTAAAGTGGATTAAAGCACTCTGATGCAACAAATCCACCCAAAAAAAACAACAACCCAGACTGACTTTTTGTGGTTAGGAAAGTGACAGGTAAATGTACGTATAACCACCATGTAATAAAATCACAATGAACTCAGGATGAATGCTCATTGTCACATGTTTGTGAGAGCAAGCAAATCAGAGTGAATGCTCCATAAAACTGGACATTGTCTAACCTGCTCATAAGTGTGTTGCAAGCAAATCGAGACAAATCTTCAATAAACAGGAGGAGCACATTGTTACCTTATTAGTTTCAGTGCACATTAGTTTTTGTTTCCAAGGAATTATATTTTCTTCTGTTTTCTTCTGTTTTTATTATTGTCTGTTTGGAGAAACAATTCGGATTATTTCTTTAAAATAATAATATTAATAATGGTGATGTGTTTTCTTCCAAATCATTTTTTACCAGTACGCAAAATTCTGCAGAGTCAATTGTTTCATCGGTTCACTAAGATTCCTTTAACCAAAATAAAAAATTCCTTCCAGTAGCACCTTAGAGACCAACAAACTTAGTTGGTCTCTAAGGTGCTACTGGAAGGAATTTTTTTATTTTGTTTTGACTATGGCAGACCAACACGGCTACCTATCTGTAAGTATTCCTTTAAACCAGTCCGAGTCTGCAACCCAGGCACCACTTAACTGGAGTAAGCCCCATTAAAGTCAACGAGACTTACTTCTTAGTAGACATGGTTAGGCTTGTACTGTGGTGTTTGGCTTCGTCTCTGAACATCAGTTGACCTCCGCTTTTCTTTGTTTACTGTCAATGCCTATGCTTATAATCAGTTGCCTGTTCTAAGTTTAGAATACCTGTGCCTCATTAACTGCTCTGAGTGCTTCTTGCTCATCTAATGGTGCATGAAGAACGTTTCTCCCCATGACGGAGGTGAGAGAGCATCTTGGTCTTGTTAGAGGCTGAAGTAGGTTTACAGGCTGATGATGCTTCAGTTATAATTGTGTTTGGAGCAATTTGCCCTTTAGTTCCTCCTTCTCTGAAAATGGGGGGGGGGGCGCGCGCGAGAGAGAAAATACACTTTTTAAAAGGCTATAAAGAAAAACAAGTTGAGGGATGTGTATTTTCTATTTTAATACTTTCCAATCTTTGGAATGTGAAAACTGTATTATTATTATTATCACCGTATTTTTCGCTCTATAAGACGCACCAGACCACAAGACTTGGATGAGGAAAACAAGAAATTTTTTTTTATGAATCTCAGAAGCCAGAACAGCAAGAGGGATCACTGTGCAGTGAAAGCAGCAATCCCTCTTGCTCTTCTGGCTTCTGGGATAGCTGCGCAGCCTGCATTCACTCCATAAGATGCACACACATTTCCCCTTACTTTTTAGGAGAGAAAAAGTGAGTCTTATAGAGCAAAAAATACGGTATTTAAAATTTATAACATGCCCTGTGAAAGCTGAATGATGATGATTTCAATTAACCCAATGCCTTTTTAAGATGTGTTGGGGGGGCGTTATTGGGTTGTTTTGTTTTTTATTATGTATTTTGTGTTTTTAATACTGCAGTTCTACATTGCAACCACCCTAAGACCTGCAGGTATAGGGGCAGTATACAAATTTAATCAATAATAGCAATAATGTATACACATTTAATCAATAATAGCAATAATTTATAACTTGCCTTTCCTTCCCAAGGAGCCCAGGGCAGCAAAATGTTTAACAGCAAATATCATTTCAAAACTCCCTTAAAAAATCATTCTATCAAACCCTTTGTTTTTGTGCCTCTTTTCTTGCAGCATGTGGATTCAAATCAGAATACCAAGTCATGATATTCACAGTTTTTGCACGCACACTTTACAGGTATAAATGAATGGAAAGAAGAGATGGAAAATGTCCTGCTGGTAAGCTAGGGCAGGGGAGCAGGGGTTTGGCGAAACTTTATATAAAGACTGTAATTTGAAGACTGTAATCTGCTCCTGAACAACTTGTGACTTTACAGCCATGCAGCGTAGCCGACCAGGTGCTTGAAAACACTTGGATTTCTACCGTTCAAGGCAGAGATGAAAAACAGGAAGTTTATCAAGCCCCTACTGAGCCAGCATGTATGGATTCAAATTGGGCAGGCGTGTTGTAAATCAAGTGTATTCCAGTGTGATGCAAGAGTCCAGATGTTTGTCCTACATTTGGAGGTGTTTGTTTGCCATGAATGAAAAATCGAGTCAAATAGGAACCATTCTATTCAGTTTCCATTGGTTCTGAAATAAGAAATGGAAACTCTTTCGTCATTCACGTCTATACTAAGTTTCATATGAATGGCTGGGCTTATCTTTCTGTGGTGACACCGACCTAAAGTGAGATGTTCCAGAAGTATGACATGACAGGATACAATATGGTAGTTTGCAAACTGGAACAGTTACTTCCGGGTTTGCTGTATTTGGGAGCCAAAATGTTCGAGAACTAAGCTGTTCGAAAACCAAGGTACAATTGTAGAGTTTTCTTGCTTCATTGGAAATGATGCACCTGGAATTGGAGTTCAGAAATGTGAAACAAAGAGTACAGAGGAAAACATGTAGGGGCAGTTTTTGTGTCAGGGATGCCTCCACCTGAATTTTGGCGACAGGAGCAAAGAGTGTTGCATAACAGCTAGATATCTTTGTGTAAGAGTATCTCATAAAAAAAGGGACGCGGGTGGCGCTGTGGGTTAAACCACAGAGCCTAGGACTTGCTGATCAGAAGTTTGGCGGTTCAAATACCCGCGACAGGGTGAGCTCCCATTGCTTGGTCCCTGCTCCTGCCAACCTAGCAGTTCAAAAGCACATCAAAGTGCAAGTGGATAATTAGGTACCGCTCTGGCGGGAAGCTAAACGGCGTTTCCGTGCACTGCTCTGGTTCGCCAGAGGCGGCTTAGTCATGCTGGCCACATGACTCGGAAGCTGTATGCCAGCTCCTTCGGCCAGTAAAGCGAGATGAGCGTCGCAACCCCAGAGTCGTTCACGACTGAACCTAATGGTCAGGGGTCCCTTTACCTTTACCTTTATCTCATAAAAAGGAAGGTGGGGAACATGTGGCTCTCTAGATATTGTTGTATTTTAGCTCCCATCAGCCGTAACCGGCATGGCCCATGGCCAAAGGTGATAAGGGCTGTAGTCTAATAACATCTGGGAGTCATGGGTTCCCTACTCACATATTAAAACCGTTTTATTTAATGGCTTCTCACTGCAGGCTCCTGGAGTATTTTTATGGGGCTATAATAGCAATGGAATAAATAATGCATTGAGCTCATCAATAAAGCTACATATCAACCTCAGCAATTTGTAACATTGGGTATTTTTATTTATTTAAAATATTTGTATCTCCCCTACCAAGCAACAGTTCACAAGACAGCTCTGTAGAATGTCTGGCCATTGCCCGATGATAGCTATGCCTCCTGACTGCTAAACAAAGTGTGTGAGTTATTTCTTACACTTAAAAAAGGCAAATTAAGAAATGTGGGGCTAGATGGGTTCTATTTCTTTACGCAACTGATTTCACGAATGAGAGTTATGCATTTTTGCAATGTAATCTTTGCATCAGCACTTGAAAAAAAGAAAACGAGAGAATTAGGATCAGATTGTGTTAACTTAAGTTTGAGTTCTGCTTTGCAACAAGTTCTGCAAGTAAAAACCAAAGAAGCTGAAAGCACAAACCAATTCACTTTGGTTTCAATTTCTGTTGCACAAAGTAAGATATCATTTGTAGCACAATGTGATGCTTCTTCTGAGCTGACAGAAGGACCAGAGGCCATTAAAAGCATATAAAATAGGTATTTCAGAGGGATCTCACTGTGTGCATTAAGTATGTTATTTAACACAATCCTGAAGGCTTCTACAATAAGGGCATTTACACAGGATGTGGTTGCCATGTTGAAGCCTCTTTAAATTGCCTCCTGCAGTAACGAGTTCTGCGTGGCAAGCTACCTGCATCCAAGCCCACCCAGGGATAGCTGTGGGTGGGATTCCTGCATTGTAGGCGGTTGGACTAAATGATCCTTAGGATCTCTTCCAACTCTACAAATCTATGATTCCATGATTCTAATGAGTTGCCATGTGATATGGTGATCTATCCCATATCTTACAGAAATGATTTGGTCTCAAAAACTACCTTCAGAATTTCTTCAGCAAGTGGTAATGTCAAATATGGCTTGATATATTCTGAATATTCAAGTAGTTGGGAAATCATCAGTATTTGACACCTGGTGACATTTGATTTCAGTACTTGACAGCCTTTTATCATTGACTTGCAGTGATATTTAGCACTGGACTGTGGAACAGGTGGCATGCAATGATATTTGGTATGTGACAGCCCCAGACAGACAACATGCAATGGTATATATTATTTGACAGTTGGGATATTGATAGCTACCCTATTAAGCACCTGCCAAACACAAAACAATCAAAAAGTGGCACTTCCAAAATTCAAGCTTGAAACCTAAATGCAGAAATTAGGAATTCTTTTTATAACTTGGTTAAATTATCAAACTTGGTGAAATTTGACTCTGGCTCCATTTTTTACAATATGGATGTGATAATGCTTTTTGCAGTTCTCATTTTATGAAAGTTCTTTTTATAGAATCATAGAATTGTAGAGTTGGAAGGGATCTCAAGGGTCATCTAGCCCAACCCCTGCAATCTCAACTAAAGCATCCATGACAGATGACCATCCAATCTCTGCTTAAAAACCTCTAGTGAAGGAGAGCCCAACGCCTTCCAAGGGAGTCTGTTGCCTGTCTAGACCCCGCAACCACCCCCTCGTTGAAGAATAAAACGCACCAGGACACAGATATTAGGTTAATGTTATTGGGCAAATTTTGGCCGTAACTTTATTGATTACAGAATGTGAGCGGTAATTGGCTTAGGCATTGAATGGACCAGACTATATCTGACTCCTGCCCGTTGTGCAGGGAGTCCGGTAAGGGTAAATGAAATATACTCGGAGTCTAGTGTGGATTTCATGCTCTTTATTCAGCTCATAGTAGTGAGGAATGGAATTTTCCCCGAAATGCCTGCTTTATATACATTATTTACACAATGGGCCCCACGTGATTGGCTAGTTCTGGGATTCTCCTGTAGGCCAATCAGGTTGCGGATTCACTTCCACCTGGAGTTGGATTGGGTGGCTCCTGTGGACCAATCAGACTGCTGCATTCTGAATCCTATTGTTCTAGGACCAATCAGACTACTGCATTCTGAATCCTATTGTTCTAGGACCAATCAGACTCCTGCAATTTGGATCCTATTCAACTCAGTACATAACAGTAAACCACCAGAAGGGGGAGCCCCATCGATGCAGACAAACTCGAGCTCCCCCACGTGCTCCCGACGGGGTCGTGTCATGGCCCTAGCCCTGCCCTGGGCTTCGGACAAGATCCACGCCCCCGGATTCCTTTAATGGAATACCCTAAAGCTTGGAGGGGCAGGTGATGGCCACACCTCCCCTCCCTCATCAAAAGGTCAAACAATGCCTAACCGCAAAACCTCACAAAGTTGTGACGATTGCTACAAGGTAGGCGAAAACCAAATGGCCCGTGCCAATTTTGCCAAGTGGAAAAATTCCAACCAGGCCCCTCAACGGCGACCAACCAAGGTCCATAGCAAGGCCAATGAAAACCTGCAAAAGGGAGGGAGGGCGGGAGATTGAGGAAGCCCCCCGGCTAGCGCCCTCACTTAAATGGTCTCGGCCATGCCCCCACCAGCCGGCAGATTGGCTGGCTGTGTGCTGATGCGGCCAGGATCCCCAGGGCAATGCAGGACTTCATCCCCCGCCCTTGAGGGAGTGGGTGGCCATGCGGTCCACCGCAACGCCTCCCCACTAGGAAGTGGAGCAGATTTCCTGACCACTCTTACTGTCAGCTCTTACTTCATGAAGTAACTTTTAAAGTCCGTTTCAAATAATGCCCCGCAAAGCACCTGCATTTAGCTTCTGTTCATTTCATACAGAATTTGGAATAATGGCAGGGGGTTGGACTAGATGACCCTCGGGTCCCTTCCAGGTCTACAATTCGAGGAAAGCTGCATTGATTCGGAACACCTAGCACTAAGCTGAGGCTTTCTAACAGAGTTTGTGCAATGAAACAATCATGAATTGTTGATCGAATCGGCCCCTTTCCTTTAAATTATGCTGAGTGGTGGTGCGAAAGTAAGAAAAACCTCAAATGACAAACAGCAGGCTACAAGGACTCAGCATCGCTTTTCATTTCTTTGCTTTTGTCAGTGTTTGTCAAAAAGCTTTAATGGTTTCCAAAACCATTTATTCCTTCCATTACTGGCTTTTTCAAAACCTCATAATATTTAAAACACTTACCGTAATTTCATTTCTTAAAAGAACATCATGCAGGTATATAATTAGCGTGGGATCAAACTGGATTTTTCCCCCCGCCTGTAAAATACAGCTGCAATCAGCTGAAATGCCAGCTCAGGCTGTAATCCTTGATGCATGTACCTCAAAGCAAGCTCCATCAAACTCAGAGGGCTTACTTCTGAGGAAATAACAATAATTTTATTATTTGTACCCCACCCACCTGACTGAGTTGCCCCAGCCACTTGGGGGGTGGGCTTCCAACACATATAAAAGCATAACAAAACATCTAAGATTAAAAACATCCCTACATGGCCTTCAGACATTTTCTAAAAATTGCGTAGTTACTGATCTCCTTGATATCTGATGGGAGAGTGTTCCACAGGACGGGTGCCACTACCGAGAAGGCCCTCCATCTGGTTTCCTGTAGCTTCACTTCTCACAGTGAGGGAACCACCAGAGCTGGACCTCAGTTTCCGGGCTGAACGATGGGGGGGGGGGTGGACTACAACTCCCATCAGCCCTGACCATTGGGCCATGCTGCCTGGGGCTGACGGGAGTTGGATTTCACCAACAGCTGAAAGTGCCCCATCCCCGATCTAGTCCTACCACACCATGTCCCTGCTGTTGCTGATCATGTCTATTTTCCTCTCCTGAGTTCCTCGCTGTGTATTTTCCTCCCCGCCTTTCTCTGCCATTCCGTCCTACGAGTGATTTGCACCATTTCAAGTTAAGATGTTGAGAGAAGAGCTCGGCAGGAAGGCGGATTGTTTCTAAGCTCTTCAAGGCCACTTTTGTTTTCACCCATCAAAAAGCGAGAGAGATTTCTTGAATAGCACAGAGCCTAGGGCACTGTTACGTTAAATGCATTTTAATGACATACAACAGACCTTGGCAAAGATGTTCCTTTAGAAATTCTCATTCTCCCCACCCTCCACCGCCCACCAACCACCTTACAAACAGCCATCCCAATATTAACAAAGTTTGGGATGGCTGGAAAATGGTTTAAGATGTGCATTAGCCTGGATAAGGAGTTGGTTAGCACATGATGCTGATAATGCCAAGGTTGTAGGTTTGATCCCTATTTGAGACAGCTGCATATTCCTGCATTGCAAGGACTAGATTATCCTTAGGGTCCCTTCCAACTCTACAGTTCTATGATCATATGAATGAACTCTGAGATATGCATTAAAAACAATAGAACTTATGAAGCTGCCTCTTACCGAGGACTCAGCTACATTAGTAGAGAAATAGTTTTAAATGAGTTATAACACCGTTGACACCAGATGGCGCTGTAGAGTTCCGTCTTTCACAAATGTGATTTCTCATTATGAGGTTTACAACGCGTTTTCCTGAAATGCTTTTTTTTATGTGTCTAGATCCAGCCTGAGTCAGGTCGTTGGTCCATATAGCTCAATAGTGTCTATACTACAGGGGACCCTCCCAGCCCTACCAGGAGATGCTGAGCACAGGAACTTTCGCATCTCAGAGTGGGCAAACAAATGTTATGCACACACGTGTCTGCCAATTTTTATTTATTTATTTATTATTTTATTTATTTATTATTTTAAAAAGCAAGCCACTTCTTTAAAAACAATGGGTTGGTGCCGAACCCTTTTCCATTCACATCTTCCCCATTCCAAATGGCCCCAAACTGTTTTCATCCCCGCTGTGGTGGGTTTCAAAATGAATGTCTGCATTTTGAACACCGTTGGGACGAAGTGTGTGAAAGTTGTTTTAAGGACCAGTTTGGTGTGGGAAGCTGTAGTCAGAGAAAGGGCTAACCACCATTTAGCCAGTGTGGTGTAGTGGTTAAGAGCAGTGGACTCGTAATCTGGTGAACCTGGTTTGCTTTCCCTTTCCTTCACATGCAGCTGCTGGGTGACCTTGGGCCAGTCACACTTCTCTGAAGTCTCTCAGCCCCACTCACCTCACAGTGTGTTTGTTGTAGGGGAGGAAAGGAAAGGAGAATGTGAGCCGCGTTGAGACTCCTTTGGGTAGTGATAAAGCGGGATATCAAATCCAAACTCCTCTTCTTCTTCTTATGCAGCATCTCAGCTCCAAATCTCGCTCCCTTCCTGTGACTATTTAGTTGCAAACCTTACAACAATCTGGTAAACAGTGCTTTTTTTTCTGCACCAGAGTGCAGTTCCAGCACCTCTCAGGTGAGTGTCATTGAGGGCTAGCGCTGCCCCAGCCCGCTTCTTGCCTTGACATACTTCCAAGAAGCCCAAAATGAATATTTCAAGTCAAAACAGAAGCTGGCCAGTCTACACTTTTTTTTAGATCTAGCTCCTAGCCACTCCTGGCCATAATTGGTCAAGCTATGAAATGGGACCAATTCATATTTCTTTTTCTTCAGTCCATCTCCTGTGTACCAGTGGTGCACTTCAAACTTTCCCGCCAGGCCTCTACCATTGCACATACTGTGTGTGTGTGAGGGCCCTTAGATGGCTGCCTTAGCCATCTGCCTGAATCTAAGATATAGAGGGAGGCAGCGGTGCATTTATTTGTCCCGCACCAGAACCAGGGGTGACCCCCCCCAAACCAGACAGGGAGACAGCTTGTTGTAGTTCTTAGCACCTCCACAGGTGGTGAATGTGGCTGTGGTCAAACCGGCATCTGTTCAGGGCTGCCCCGAGGTGTCCGGCAACTTACTGTAACAACTTCATGGTGAGTTTTGGCACCTGTTTTTCTTGGGGGGAAAGCACTGCCTGTAAAGTACAGTGGTACCTCGGGTTAAGAACTTAATTCATTCTGGAGGTCTGTTCTTAACCTGAAACTGTTCTTAACCTGAGGTACCACTTTAGCTAATGGGGCCTCCTGCTGCCATCATGCCGCTGCCATGCGATTTCTGTTCTCATCCTGAAGTAAAGTTCTTAATCCAAGGTACTATTTCTGGGTTAGCGGAGTCTGTAACCTGAAGCGTCTGTAACCCGAGGTACCACTGTATTATAATCGCAAATGGCAACACTGAGGCTGAGAGAAAGTGGTTTGCCTTAGGGCCAACTAGTAGGCATATGGCAGAAGTGAGATTTAAACCAGTGGCTTTCTGATTCACAGCATGCTATGCCACACCAGCTCCACAGATTCTAATCCAGAGACTTGTGCATAATGTGCAAAAAGTCCCTGACTTGCACTCAGTCTTAAACACATTACATAGCTTTCTCTCTCTCCAACCACTGCAATGAATGTGGGGTTGGAAAAAAAGAATGTAGAGAATAGCGCTTGGAGTTTTTGCTTTTTGGGTAGTTTTAAACATTTGTTTTCTAAATATCCTTGGGCCAGACCTAACACACAGAGTGAAAGAGAGCAGGAAAAATATTCAGCTATCATTAAAAAAACATGTAAAGCTACCAGTGTGATTTTTATTTTCTCCAGGCTTCAACACAAAGTCTAAACATTACCTGACAAAGAAAACAACTTTCGAAAATTTGCTAAACTCCACCTTGGCAACACTTTTCAACAGCAAAGGAATCTTGCTCTCACACTCCAAACAACATTCAAGGTAACTCAGATCTGGATCAAGCAAAGAATCAGCATTAATTTCATAGTAGCTTGTTCTGAGATCTCCAGCCTGATTTCCACATCAAAGAAGGTACACTCTTTTAGTTAGGTTTTGGATACTCTTCCAAACCAAGCCCTCAACTCTCTTGAGCTTTGCCCATCATTAATATTTACCCAAGTCATCATCCAGAAAAACTGGAGGCAACTATTAATTCCTTCATACTGACTTTAAAATGGAAGATCATGCTTGGGGACAGAACCATAGGCTGCCTCTGTTTCAAGAGGGGAAAAATAGCAAACCCTCAGAACCATTTTTTTTGCATCCTCTTTGATGTGAAAACTTCCCTACAGATATTTCAGTACGGTTTCCTAAGTTATATGAGATGTGGAGAATCTCCACATCTTCAAAGTCAGCTGACCCAAACCTTGCTTGGCAAAATCAACATCTCTGAGAATATTAACATAATTTAATGTTTTTATATATATATTTTCTTGCAGAATATTATGATCTGAAGTAATTTCATCTGGGGCAGAGTTTTGTTGATTATTATTAAAGGTAAAGGGACCCCTGACCATTAGGTCCACTTGTGACCAACTCTGGTGTTGCGGCGCTCATCTCGCTTTATTGGCCGAGGGAGCCGGTGTACAGCTTCCAGGTCATGTGGCCAGCATGACTAAGCCTCTTCTGGCGAACCAGAGCAGCGCACGGAAACGCCATTTACCTTCCTGCCGGAGCGGTACCTATCCATCTACTTGCAGTTTGACGTGCTTTTGAACTGCTAGGTTGGCAGGATTATTAATAACTGTCAAATGATTAAACAAAAAAGTTAACAAAATGGCTATATATTTGCTCGACTGTGTTGCAGGCAGAGAAACAGTGGTTTACGTGGAGTCACGGGTCATTTCCCTGTGTATACCAGAGGGAAAGAATAATCTGAAGACAAGGACTGGGGAATGCGTTCTATGGCAGACCAGCTGTCTACAGCAGACCCCCACTTGTCTACAGCATCTTCAGAAGCAGAGAGAGAGAGACAAGAGCTGAACAGCTTAGGGGGGAGTTACCCAGTTATGAGATAATGATAACAGAACCAGAAGGGAGGGGGCAGCTAGTTGAGAGCGTGGGGGACCCCTCCTTCACCACGGACTCGGAGGCCCAAACATATGAGAGAGCAAAGGAGTCAGAGGGAGGGAGGAACTCCCCACTGGCGCCCAAAATGCTGTGGAATGGGGGATTAGACTAGCCAACTGCGCTCCTTGCGGAGAGCTGTGTATCTGTGCTTGCAACATGATGCTGTAATAAACGGACCATAAATCTTATCAACTGCTTGTTAATTTGTATCTGTGAAGTTGCCGAAGGGAGGCGAGGACTCTCCACGCCTGACAACATTGCTTCTGGATTCTTGGCTGTAATTCTGGGAAATCTCATGCCAGACTCCTGCTGACTTCGTTTGGACTACTGAGCTGATTGCCGGGGTCATTGATTGCAGTGGATGGCGATGTTTGCTTTAGCTTCAAATGGACTTTATTCATGATGATCACTAGTGATCGTTAAATATCTCATCACGGCACTCAGCCCTATCCATCAAGGCACTTGCTGTTGTAACGACTGCATAGAAATAAATTACTCTCTGCTTTATGTTGTCCTAGTGGAGTGGCCCAATATAAAAATATTTCAAAGGAGTGCCATAAATTAGCCCCAGTCCTCGAATTAAATACGGGAAGCCGAAGAGGACTCGCGGTGCTTCGCTTGCTCCAAATGGCAAGGGGGAGTGGAGCTCCTGATGCAAATTGCTGGAAAGAAACAAAGCCTGCCTTGTTGATGATGAAACGAGCATCTGTTGAATTGTAAGAGCATCAGTATAGTTTTACGAGAGTAGCTTTTATTCACAGTGCAGCTCAAATTCAGACTCAGCATGGGTCTGTGTTGCACAAGCCAGCCCCATTATGAAGTTCTGATTACACAAGGAAGGAGCATTAATGGTCGGCATCCTCTAAGGAAGTTTCTCTGGCCATTGGGCAATACCCAATTAACTCATTCTATCAGAGCTAGGATTTTGAGCTGCATGCAACAGGATTTCCCACCTCCTCTCCCCATGCATGGACCACACTGTCCCCAAATCTGCCCTGGAGGGTTGGGGAACCCCCAGAACAGATTTAAGGAGCATGTGGGATGGAGGCAGAGAAGACGCTCCATTGTGCAAGCGGAAATCCATGGATGGAACAAGTTAGTTGAATACGTCCCATTGAAGTGAATGTGGGGCTAGGCTTTGAGTGTTCCTCAGTGGTGCAGGGATGGCACTTTGCATATGCTCAGAGGCAGGATGAATTGCTTTTTCATTAGCAGGGGAAAGAGTTGATTGATGCCACTGTTGTAAATTAAGTTTCCCACTGATATGTCATCTGTTTGCTAAATGGTGCATGCTTGACTAAAATCTACAGCTGAACAGAACATCAGCAAGGCCATTTCAACGTTACACCCCTTTGTTTCATTGCACACATTTTGTGTCCTTCCCATATTTGCCTATACAAGGAATGACTTTCTTTCTATACACATAAAATGCCCTAAACAAAAAAACAAATCTAGAAGTGTATTGATGGTGTGCCTTTTTTTTTTTTTTTTGTCTCAGCCAATGTTAACCACTATATTCCAGTGTCCTCTTCCTGTCACAGCACATGGGATATTTTGTTACCTTGAGAAACACTGGAATTTGGCTCAGGGTAGTAAAATGGCCCCCAAACTGGGTATGTAATTTTCTTTGTCTCTGTCCAAGAAGATTTAGTATGAGCTGTGCTATTTTTCTAGAAAAAGAAATGCCAGAATTCATCACAAACACCTCCCTTGTTCTCTTATAATGGCAGTGGAGCCCATCTGAGAGGTGATGGAACTGAATTCTGGTGAACTCCAGCTGAAAAAAAGTCATGAGTATGAGAATATAGAAACGTGAGCACAAGTACAAAGTAGTAATCAAGAATTAAATGCCTGGTAGCATGGAAACATTATCTCAAGGACCACCACCCTCCGTTGATGTGGGTGGGAGACTATGCCATAGCTCTGAAGTGTGTTAAGACTTAAGCTGTGTGTGTTGAATCTTGTGTGTCAATCATGAGCACAAAAAAATCAGATTGGAATGACCCATTTATATGAGATATCGCTCCCATCTAGAAGTACCCTTGAAAACAAACCAACATCCTCAGTTCACTATTTTATTATTATTTTTGTCAAATTTAACTATCAAAGCAGAGTTCTTCCACTTGAGGGCATGAAATTATTTGATTGTTCATCACAGAATATTCTTTCTTTTGCAGACATTACTGTTTCAGACCATCATCACTGACCTCGACGAATGGGGACAGATTGATCTTTTTATTCTGTAGAAACTGATGACACAGACTTTTGAAGTAGTTTTTCTGCACTTTCTGCCAGAGGAGCTGTGCCAAATATCAATCCTTAACTTGAAAGAAATCTTTTTTTTATTTTCAAGTGAGACGGGTTTTTGTATGGCGATCAGTCAAATTCCAAATCACTGCAAAATGTGAACTCTGCTTGTTTCTATGAATATTAATGATGCTTCATTCTATGGGTTTACTCCCCCCCATTGTGTAACTCCAAAATGACATTTAAAATTGTTCATTAAAAAGACAAATTGCTGCATGAGGACTGGAGTTGTTTTTAGTGTAACATCACACCTTCGTGTATTGGAGGCCGAAACACTCACTGGTCAAATGGCTTTAAACTTTCTTTACATTCATACACTAACAGTTCGAGGGCTACACAGGAGTAAATCCTGTGGCAATCAATTGGCACTTTTGCCCTTGTAAATGCATATAGGTAGAGATGGGAGACGCTGTCAATTTCAGTTTCTTGTTTTTCCTAATCTTAAATGCAATTCTCCACATTTTTTAAAAAAAATAAAAAGGCCTTATGGAAATTCACCAGCATTTTAGCACAAATTTCTCCTAACAGCCACATTTTTGTATGCCATTTCCCCTAACATACACATTTTTGCAAAACATGTTTTCCCTAATATTTTTATTTTTTCAAAAATATACACATTTTAATGCACACGTCAACCTTATTATATATGCCTGTATACACATGGCTACTTGGCTGGAGAACTCTGAATTTCAAAGGATAGGTCTTGGTTTGTATTTGGTCAAAAAATGCAAATTAGGTAGATTTGACTTGCAATGCAAACTGAATCAAAATTCTCCCTCAATCCCTCCATACAGAATCATACCCCAGAGCTGCAATCCTATGGACATATACTCGGGAGTAGGTTTTTCTGAACTCAGAAGGGATTTACATCCATGTAAATATACAGAGAACTGAAATGCATGCATGCTTTGGGCTTTTACTGTGTTTTCTGTAAATTATGTTGTGTATTTAACATGTTGGCCTTTTAAAAAAGTTGGATAATTGCCTACAGAGTGATTGAAATAAACAACAGTGAATAGGATTCATGTACTCCAAAAACTTTTAGCTATGAAATGTTTAGCTTATTTTGCCAGTAAGGTGATATCTGTGCCCAGTGTATACTCATGTTTACTGTTCTGCATTTATTTAACCATTTGTCAATAAAGGAGGATCCTTGGCAACATCTGCTGTGTGCAGTGGATCAGCTGCAGATGTTTCCCCACACATTCAGAACTGCAAAGAAAAAAACACATTTGCATAACAGATTAGCTAGCTCCCATATAGCAGCAGTCCAGCTGCTTTCTCCCTGAATTGTCTCAAACCATCTGGTTGGCATTATCCCATACTCAGTGTGCCAACATATATTCCCTGAGTGTCAAATACCACAGCATAAATATACTCTGGTACCTGTAAGAAATGAGGCTTCCCTAATGGGCACTATCACTGGCCCATGTGTGCTAAGAGGCTCAAGTGCCTGTATTGAATTGCGGCATGCAAAGACACTGGCTGATACCATTTACACTCAGTGTCCACCTTTTGTTTCATCTTACAGCCCCCCCCCCATGTAAGTTCAGGCTGAAATAGAGTTGCTTTGCTTCTAATGCCTTTTCAAAATCTCACAATCTAATTCAGGGGTCGTCAAAATTGTTTAGCAGTGGGCCAGTCCACTGTCCCTCAGACCTTGTGGCGGGCCAGAGAAGCAGCACCGGTGGGTGGGTGGAAGAAGAGGCGAGGGGGGCAAGCAGTCCTCCTCCCCACCCCCCACCCCTAGCCCCAGCTGCTGCGCTTACCTTCCCAGCGGCTGCTGCTGCCGCCACCACTGCTGCTGCCTCTCGTGGGTAGGCAGAGTGAGCTCATCTGCTCTGCTCTCTGGCCCAAAGGAGCACTAGGGTGGCGGCGGCAACGGGAGGAAGAGGCCGAGCGGCAGTGGCTCTACCAATCAAACGCCGCTCCTGATTTACCTCAGTGCGGCGTGGGGATGTCTCCGCCAATCAAACACCACTGAGGTAAACAAGGCATGGCGTTTGAGTGGCAAAGCCGCCGCCGCTTGGCCTCTTCCTCCCGTCACCATCTCCGGGAGTCTCGGCTTCGCAGTGGGTTCCGGCTTCATGGTGCAGGCTGGATTTAGGACCCAAGTGGGTTTGGTCTGGCCCGGGGGCCTTAGTTTGCCGACCCCTGATCCAATGCTTCATTTCTGCTGAATTAACTGCCAAGTTGCATAGGGTCCTTGGTGATACATGTGTGTGTGTGTGTGTGTGTGTGAGAGAGAGAGAGAGAGAGAGAGAGAGCGCATGAAAGAGAGACATATATAATAAGAATCTAAGGCTATTGTCACACTGCAGTCTGCTTGATCACAGACAGGTGCTGCTGCAAGAGATGATGGATGGGTAGGCCAGGAGAGGCAAGAAGGACAGCTAGAATAGGCTGCATCTGCCCCTCAGCAGCCCCCCTGCTCTGCCAGCTCCTCTGCCTACCAACCCCAAGGCTCTCTCTCTCCCCCATCCCCATCCCCTGCTGCAATCCAGACCTGCTGTTGGCTGCCTTCCTCCTCCATGGCTGATCAGGAGATCTGTTGCTGCCACCTCTGCCTCTGCAGCCACTTAGGATACAGGAGGTGCAGCTTGGCAGTGAGGAAGCTGGCCATAGAACTTTTCCTCTTTACACGTGAACTGCCATTTCCCTTAAGATACTGGCTGCAGCATTTTCTGTATCCTTTCTGCATTTTTCTTCTTGGATCCAGTAGTTGTTGTTTCTGCTATAATTGGGATGCTAGAATGCCCCACTGCACCTGCCTAGAACCCTGGTCTCAAAGACAGTAACTGGTCACAACACTGTGTTAACACAATAGCTACTGTGACTTATGATGACCTTCTTTTTTATTTTATTTTATTTTATTTTGCTTGTACAGTCAGTCTTGAAATCAGGCTATAAATACAAGGATTGGGGGGGGGAGAATAGTTGCCTATTCTTTCTGTCTATTTCATTACGTAGCTGAGCTAGACAGTAAATAGGTGTCAACAGCAAATCGCAACAGGAAAAAGAGAATTTCATAACATAAAATAATGCATCAGCATTACTGCAGCACAAATGTTGTTTCTATCCAGGTAAATAACGACAGGAAAGTACCAGAATAAAATACTGCGGATATGGCTTCTTACTGCATCCATGATTGTTGTCTTAACATTTCCACGAACCGGATATGCAAAAAGGTATCGTGAGCAATGTTTGTTTTTGTTTTTGTTTTGTTTTTTGCAAGCAGTTCAATACAGAGGAAAGCAATTACAAGTTTTCTACTCGCAACGTAGCTGAAATTGACTACAATCCACTCACCTTTGCTTCTGCACAGTCCTCACGGAGTTGTGCCATAATGGTATGGCCGATTGTTCTCCATAAGTCAGTGGCCACACAAAAGATTTATGCAGGGTGGCTACTTCAAACCAGAATATGTGGAAGCTGCCTCCCTTTTTTGCAGTGCTTCCTAACACCACTTTTATATGCTACCCTAATATGCAATCTACGCTAGTGAGAACACACTACTTTTTGGACCTAGCAGCCTAACCATTTTTGTTTGGTTTAAAAATAACAGGTGAAAGGCTCTGATCTTTGGAGTTTCCTTTTCAGGAAAGTGCCGGGGTGGCAGAGATGTGACTCACCCCTGCCAGCCTGGTCTGTGTCCTGCTGCAGAGGCTGCCCAGCTCCTCCTTGAGATCAGGGACAAACACGGAAAAATAAAAGCAGGGAAAAGAGCAAGGACAGCCGATGTAACCTATGATTAGGCGTTGCTCCTTGCTGTGCCCAATCTCCACACATTCTTTAGAGTGTGGTATTGAGGCATGCAGTGGATTTTCAAAATCTGTAATGTGTGAAATAGCTGCAGGTCCGTTGTTTGCAGGCGCTATAAGAAAGGACAAAAAAACGTCGACGATATGCACACTGTGTGTTTGGAAAAATAAGAGGCCTTCTAAGTCAGAGAATCATTAAGCGGATGCCCTCTTTGCTCCAAAAATGTGCCTCTCCAAATTGCTTCCATAAATTTTCTCACCGAGGCAGCGTGATATTTGATAATTATCCGCTGGTGTCATAAGGCATAATGACAAAAAGTGATAGCAGTTGGGAAGCCTTTTATACCAAGCCAGCAATTTTAACCATCTGCTGCATAATTGTAGGCTGAGGGTTATGGACAATGGACATATAAGATCATTAGCGCCGATGCCATCGAGGTGCAACAAAGGTCCTGTTGGCAAAAGGCCTAGCAAGAAAATGGTGTGGGTTGTTAATAGAATGGTAATGGAGACAAGGTGCAGCAATTATGTTATCGTGAGACAGTCTTAGTCGGTCCATGTTCTCTTTGAGCTCCCCTCCCCTCCCACTGTGATTGCTTGCAATACTGGCGGGAGTAAGGAAGCCATTGAGAGGAACACACGGGCCATTCCTAGCATAATTATCAGCATAACTTTTAACGACACCGTGTAATGCACTATTCATAAGGCCCTTTTCACTAACCACCTGTGTGCAGGTAGCCTTCACAGAGAAGTGCTTTGCTTGCTTAAGGCTATCTAAAGTGCGCTACAGTAGAATGGAGCTTTAGACCTGCCTTCCACTTCTCATACCAACGGTCTATACAGCATCACGCCAAACTTATTGAAGTTTTAGCAAGGAATATTAGATTCCATTCCATTTCAAAAGAGCTTAGAGCAAGAGCTTTCCTACCACAATAGGAAAGTCTCCCCTTCCTGCTGTGACCAGATCCCCTCCGCCATGGTGTCCCAAAGAGGAATGAAGAGGGTGGAACAGAGACAGACAAGACAAGTCTTGCGCTGCTGGGGAAGGATCTGGGAGAGGAGGGCCTTAGAGAGCAGTGGAAGGTGGGGACCTTCAGTCCTCACAACTGCCTCACTGGGGCAAGAAAAACTTAATTGATTATATGATAGCTCAGTTGGTTGTAGCCTGGTGCTACAGGTAACACCAAGGTTGCAGGTTTGATACCTGTATGGGATAGCTGCATATTCCTACACTGAATGGGGTTGGGCTAGATTATCCTCATGGGCCCTTCCAATTCTACAATTCTATGATTCTGTGATCCTAGTACTGATCCCCAACAATTCCTCTGCAACCGCCAGAACTGACTTACACTCGCATCGCTCAGAATGAATTTGGCCTGGAGGTTTTCTCCAGGATAATACTAAACATGTGGTATTGCTTGAATATAGAGAAGAGAAATCTGGGGCCCTTTTTTTGCAGAATGAACACAGAGAAAGAAAAATCTATTTGAAATTTGCTGTAGGGCTGCATCAGGCTGACACGTCTGAGCACCCCCTTATTTAATTGGGTAAGCCTGAGCTTAGGATCTGCCTTCTCTTTGCTGCAACTTCAGAAAGCAAAGACATTTGGCAATTTAAGCCACAGCTCATGAAATGGATTTACAAAGAGTCAACAGTCACCTTTGACAGGATTACAGTGCAGGAGTT